TCCCTCCACACAGGCTCCCTCCACACAGGCTCTCTCCACACGAGCTCCCCCAACATGGGCTGCCTCCCCTGGACCTCAGGGCTTGCAGGTAGACTGGCTGCTTGGTCTGAAATCCACACAGACAGTGGCCTTGGGATAGTGAGAGGGGGGTTCCCGGAAGACAGGTGCATAACACCTCTGTGTGGGCACACTTGCGCAGAGAGGTACCGGCTTCCTGAGGATGAAGCCCCAGGTTCACAGCTCAAACGGAAGTTAAGGCGATGAAAAGGGAAGTCTCTGAACCTCAAACCTCAGCAGGCAAGGAGAAGCAGACAGAAGAGGCAGCTGAGGAGCTGGAAAAGTCATCTGGGGAAGCTGCCCAGGGTGCCACAGAGACAGGGACTGGCAGGAAGTGGTGAAGGGCAAGCAGGTCCCCCATGCCTGTTTCCTGGAGCTGCCTTACCAAGAACCAGGGACTCCGGCTCCAGCAACAGAAATGTGCCTCTCACAGATCTGGAGCCAGAAGTCAGAGGCCCAGATGCAAGCAGGCTGCTTCCTTGGGAGGCTGGGCAGGCACGTCTGTTCCGGGCCTCTGTCCTTGCCTGGGGACGCCACCTGCTCCCCGTGTCTTCACATAGTCCCATGCGGTGTCTGTACAAACCTCCCCTCTTCGTAAGGACACCAGTCACTAATGCCCTCGTGTTAACTTAGTCATCTCTGAAGACCCTATTTCCAAACAAGGTCACGATCCCAGGTGCTGGGAGTAAAGACTTCAGCATCTTTTGGGGGACACAGCTCTGCCCACAACAGTCCTCACAGAAGTCTAGAATACAGAGTGTGGGAAAGAAGCAGCATTCAAGGAGATGTTGGCTAAGGGTTTTTCAGAATGAATAAGGCAGGATTCAGATTCCAGAAGCTGTTTCCTGAGCAGGACAAATAAAAGCAATTCCACCTCTAGAAGCATCGTAGTAAACAGCAACAGCAAGACAGGAGAACTGAGGGGTCGGCAGAGACAGACAGGCAAGAGGACAAGGCTGTCTGCCACCCCTTCGGTCCCCTCTTGCCCCTCCTTCCCC